AGTAGAGTAATCAGTTGAAGCTCGCTAAAAACTGAAGTTTATATAGAATATAATATATGTCTATCTGACTCTGTTCATTGGACTGTAACAGCAAGATAATACCCGTTTCATCCATTCAATATCGTAAAACTTACGACATTTAGTTTTACCCTTCATTGCTGTTCAATCGGCAAAGCAGTTGAAAAGCTCATATCCAAAGCTTTTTCAGAGCGTTTTCCAATACTCGAATATGTTGGCGCCAGAAGCTTAACAGTAGCGGAAAGCACACACTCACGCACACMCACACGYACGCACAGGCAGCAGGCAGTGTTTGAAAATAGCAACAAAATGCCATGCGCCAAAGTGGAGAGAGAAAGCACAGAAGGAAAATTGAAAAATGTAGCGCATAGACTCAGTTGATGTCGTTGCGTGTTGGCTGAAAGCGTAAAAGACACAAATTGTCGCTTGTAAATAAAAAGATGACAATAAATATAAATAAAAATTATATAGAATATTAAATAATAAAACCTGCATACAGGAAAATTAGTGAAGAATACAAATACAAGTGGTTTCGAATTGCATAAAGTGTTAATTCAAGCAACAAATTTCGTGTCGACTGCAAATTGAAGAATCGAAGAATCAAAGTAAAGGAAGCATAATCAATATGAATTCACGCTGTTAAAGCCAACAGCCTTGCAATTGCGGGCATGTCAGCCGCAACACGGGCCGAGACGCTAAAGAAAACGGTCAACTTAAACGAGCATAAGCAGAAAAAATTGCATTGGGTCGCGTTTGGCCCACTTTTGGGCAGCCAAATCGATTTCTAGTTGCATGTGTATTATGAAACACCTGCGCGACTATTGAGCCAGCCCGCAGGACAGTGCTCCTCTGGTCGCTAAACAATACTTTGCTAATCAATACACTCACGTGCAAGTGCAAAAGGTAATAAATGTTTCATTTTGCTGAAGAAGTGAAAGTTAAATGAGCAATGTAAAAGAACCAAACTCAAACTACAAAAGCAAAATATTAAAGTGCGTGCGAAAAAGGAAACACGCAGTCCGCCTGACCAGCCGATAAGTGTGAGAGAGTGAGAGAGGGAACGCAGGCCGTAAAGAGAGCCGACAAAGAGCAAAGACCAACGTGAGAGCGTGTGTGCGTGTGAGTTGCAGCTGTGTGCGTGTTGTTTACATTGCATTGGCTCGCGCTCTTCTCGCTCTGCTCTCTYCGTCTGCTTCACAGCTGTGCTTCTGCCTGTGGCGCGAGCCCTGCTTAATAACCGGCTACTGTAAAGCGCAATAACAGTTATTTGACAGCAACAATTAATTAAATCATTTAGCTAAGCACATACTCGAGCAAAATCAGAGCACCATTTATACATGTGATAGCTGCCAATTATACATACAAACACACCCACACGCACATTTGTTTGTTGCCATAAATCAAGCACTCGCCGGGTCGAAGCACAATAATAAACAACAAAACAAACCAAAATCTATAGTCAGTGGCTATAATAAAAATAAAACCTTCACCCAAAATCTGTCAATAAAGAAAAACAAAGTGTGTGTGTGTGTGTGTGTGTCTGTGTCACACAAAAACACATACACATATACGTACTCTACTTATACACTTAAAACTTTGGCGGTTTATTTCTGTTCAGCGCAAATGATGCGAATTCCTCATGTCATCTACATATATAAATGCAAATTTTAGTGTCTGCTAGTAACACAATGTTTGATTGAAAATTTATAGTACAGTATAGCCTGGCTAGCTCGGATTGTTTACAAAATATGCGGTGTTGTGTTTAAAGGTGTGTTTATGTGAATTTTAATTAGTATTATTGATAACAGTTTTAATTTTTATTTAACAAAGAATATATACCTATATATGTATTTGAAATCTAGTATACTTATTATAACTAAATTTATTTATTATCATTATAGAAAGATTGACCGGTAAAGATAGGATTGTTGATTGCAGCTATGGAAGGTTTAAATTACAGTCATCTCTTCTCAACGACCAACGTTTTTAATTGGTGGTGTCTTATATTCATTTTCATTTTCAAAAAGAAACTTATTAAACAAAATTGTATATAACATTAAGGGGCCAAATATACATAGAGAAGTGATCGAAGTTTTAAATTAAAGTAACCTGTTCTGAATGTCAGTCTGGAAAGTTTTTAAAGATCTTCGAAGATGCTCGAATCTAATATTTGATAAAATACTTTTAAACACATATTTACATATGTACGCATAAGCATACATACATAAATGTTTTCACGCATACATTCGTCCATATGTATGTACAGATTATGCATAATCTCTTTTGTGGAGCATGCTTCCTACAATAAAATATTAACCAATAACATATTCTTTATATCCCACTAGAACACCTTTGCCTCCAGCATACTTAATCACATACGCGACACACACATACATAGATACACAAGTATATTCACACTGACAGAAGCGCAGGTCGCGCTCGATGGGTTCAAAGCACACACTCACATGTGCACACACACACACACGCATTGATTGGCTTTGCCACACACTCTATTGACATCAATGGCAGCGATGTCACTTGGTCTCGCACATTGACCTAGAACACTTATTAGAGGTTATGCGTTGCTATAAATAGTTTACTCTCCATATGCATGGATAATATTCTACATAAATATAGATAAATCTGTTGAAATATATTTATTTATACGTATGCATGTGTGCATTTGTGTGTGTGTGAGTGCTCATATGACGTACACACGAGTTGGAGGCCAACGAAGCGGAAATTTCGTTAAAAATTATCATCAAAATTTCGGGATCATTGAATACTTCATTATTTATGGCACATTTAAATGCCACACCAAGCTACATAGTTTTTTCAAATGTCTTCAATAAATTGTTTATAATTCGGTGTGGATGGATCTTTCATTTAAAATCAAGTTGATTTTCTTTATATATAGCATGATTTATTATTATTAGAGAACTTTTCGTCACACCCACACAAGTATGAGCATAATTTGTTTTGACAGCTGTCAAATATAATTTATTGCTTCAGTTAAGGAAGTAGAAGATAAACATATGTAAATATCCAGTTCGTGAACATTAAACAAATTTACAAAATTTCTCAACTGTAGTAGACAATTTGGAAAATTCACACTCCTTCGTCTTGTTCATTTTATATCCTTGAGAAACTGAAATTTTTAATATATAWTGAGGTATAGATAACACCTAACACAAAATAGTACTATGATTTAGAAAGGTAGAAAATTTTCCAACTTCTGTTGTGGTTTGTCTATAGATAGAATAAAAGTATATGTATATATTATATCTATACAAGTGGTATACATATATATCCTTTTACCATCGTTGAGCTTGTATGTCATTCTTAGAAAATTAGATAAATCCTATTAGATTGTTTCNAAAGCGCAATAACAGTTATTTGACAGCAACAATTAATTAAATCATTTAGCTAAGCACATACTCGAGCAAAATCAGAGCACCATTTATACATGTGATAGCTGCCAATTATACATACAAACACACCCACACGCACATTTGTTTGTTGCCATAAATCAAGCACTCGCCGGGTCGAAGCACAATAATAAACAACAAAACAAACCAAAATCTATAGTCAGTGGCTATAATAAAAATAAAACCTTCACCCAAAATCTGTCAATAAAGAAAAACAAAGTGTGTGTGTGTGTGTGTGTGTCTGTGTCACACAAAAACACATACACATATACGTACTCTACTTATACACTTAAAACTTTGGCGGTTTATTTCTGTTCAGCGCAAATGATGCGAATTCCTCATGTCATCTACATATATAAATGCAAATTTTAGTGTCTGCTAGTAACACAATGTTTGATTGAAAATTTATAGTACAGTATAGCCTGGCTAGCTCGGATTGTTTACAAAATATGCGGTGTTGTGTTTAAAGGTGTGTTTATGTGAATTTTAATTAGTATTATTGATAACAGTTTTAATTTTTATTTAACAAAGAATATATACCTATATATGTATTTGAAATCTAGTATACTTATTATAACTAAATTTATTTATTATCATTATAGAAAGATTGACCGGTAAAGATAGGATTGTTGATTGCAGCTATGGAAGGTTTAAATTACAGTCATCTCTTCTCAACGACCAACGTTTTTAATTGGTGGTGTCTTATATTCATTTTCATTTTCAAAAAGAAACTTATTAAACAAAATTGTATATAACATTAAGGGGCCAAATATACATAGAGAAGTGATCGAAGTTTTAAATTAAAGTAACCTGTTCTGAATGTCAGTCTGGAAAGTTTTTAAAGATCTTCGAAGATGCTCGAATCTAATATTTGATAAAATACTTTTAAACACATATTTACATATGTACGCATAAGCATACATACATAAATGTTTTCACGCATACATTCGTCCATATGTATGTACAGATTATGCATAATCTCTTTTGTGGAGCATGCTTCCTACAATAAAATATTAACCAATAACATATTCTTTATATCCCACTAGAACACCTTTGCCTCCAGCATACTTAATCACATACGCGACACACACATACATAGATACACAAGTATATTCACACTGACAGAAGCGCAGGTCGCGCTCGATGGGTTCAAAGCACACACTCACATGTGCACACACACACACACGCATTGATTGGCTTTGCCACACACTCTATTGACATCAATGGCAGCGATGTCACTTGGTCTCGCACATTGACCTAGAACACTTATTAGAGGTTATGCGTTGCTATAAATAGTTTACTCTCCATATGCATGGATAATATTCTACATAAATATAGATAAATCTGTTGAAATATATTTATTTATACGTATGCATGTGTGCATTTGTGTGTGTGTGAGTGCTCATATGACGTACACACGAGTTGGAGGCCAACGAAGCGGAAATTTCGTTAAAAATTATCATCAAAATTTCGGGATCATTGAATACTTCATTATTTATGGCACATTTAAATGCCACACCAAGCTACATAGTTTTTTCAAATGTCTTCAATAAATTGTTTATAATTCGGTGTGGATGGATCTTTCATTTAAAATCAAGTTGATTTTCTTTATATATAGCATGATTTATTATTATTAGAGAACTTTTCGTCACACCCACACAAGTATGAGCATAATTTGTTTTGACAGCTGTCAAATATAATTTATTGCTTCAGTTAAGGAAGTAGAAGATAAACATATGTAAATATCCAGTTCGTGAACATTAAACAAATTTACAAAATTTCTCAACTGTAGTAGACAATTTGGAAAATTCACACTCCTTCGTCTTGTTCATTTTATATCCTTGAGAAACTGAAATTTTTAATATATAWTGAGGTATAGATAACACCTAACACAAAATAGTACTATGATTTAGAAAGGTAGAAAATTTTCCAACTTCTGTTGTGGTTTGTCTATAGATAGAATAAAAGTATATGTATATATTATATCTATACAAGTGGTATACATATATATCCTTTTACCATCGTTGAGCTTGTATGTCATTCTTAGAAAATTAGATAAATCCTATTAGATTGTTTCCCAAAAAAGTCGAACAATGTCAGCATTCCATATGTAAATATTTGGCTATATTGACTTTTGAATACTTTTAAAATGTTACCGGAGCGCTTATAATATAAATTTCGCCGGATGTTTATATGAATTTTATTGCGTATACAAAAATCTAATATCATAAATATTATTATTATAAACAAATGTCACCCTCTCCACCTTTAGTTACGATATATCGTAATAGCTAGGAAGTTATGCAGCTGGACAGCAATAAGTCTTAGCCCTTCTATGCCGAAACGGGCGACCAAACACAATTTCAATCATATCGAATCAAGTTAGACAGGTAAGAGGCCAATTTCTATATGAAATATTTCATTATCAATATTTATAAATTACAGAACTAAGGAGTGAAGCCATCAAACAAAGATGTGGACTAAAGAAAGCGCAGCCAGACAATGGCTGCTGGCCTTGGCAGGTAAAGACAGCATAAATGCAGTCAACAGCAAGTGATTACGATTAAGTATTAATACTCAATTAAGGCCAGCCAAAAAGTAGCGAGCAGCTGCTTTATCGGCCTATACTTGTTTTTATTAGCCAAAAAGTCGAAGGCAAACGCGAGGCACTTCAAAGACAACACAAAGATTATTTACGAGCGCAGAATGGAAGCAGAATCTTGTTGTTAAATTTTACTATAATCGTGAACCAATATAGAATGTGTGAAGTGTATAAATAGACTAACTAAATATGTGCCACAGCCAAACACACTCAAATACACACAGACACACACACAAAGACACATTTGACAGCGTCGGGCAACGCGTCGTATGAGCGATGTGCTAACAGAAGAGCAAACAACATGAATTGTGTGTGGGGTTTGAAGCGTAGAAGAATATAACAGAATATAACAGTTGGATATCTCTCTCTCCCTCTCAATTAGTTAGTAATTGTATTAAATTGTATTCATTTTAATCAAAAATTAATTTAACAACAATTTCGTTTTTCACACAAGTTTTTTTGGCATTGGCAAAATTCGGTACAGCTGATAATTGTTTTCCAAGTAAGTTTTAATTTTCGGTTTCAAAATTCCTTCAACGATTTCTGTTTTGCATATGATTTACAGAACCTTGTTTTACATTTTGCGTTTCCTTACTAAAAAATAATCGTGTATATTATTTAGTTATGTATTTGTACTAAAAACGAAACAAAACCAAAAATAAACATAAACTTCAGCTAGAGCTTGAAGTATTTTTGCAGTTTTTCAAAAAATAATACATTACATATAGAAAATTGAGTTAAAATTGATTTTTTAAATGAATGAAAA